CCCTAGCGAAGATGTGTCCGCCTATTGCGTTTGCTCTTGCCGATGAGCAGTGCTCAGGCCCCAGCGCCATCAAATGGTACGATTCAACTATTAGCTTTATCTCGCAGAATACACAAAAAGGCAAACAGAACAATCTGTTATAAAATCACATGGCTACGAGGTCTTGCATTTAATTTCACTGCGCCGACAACGTATCCACTCACAGCCGTGTTGACGCCATGATGACAGTGCCTCTGGTGACAACACGTTCTTATATTTGCAGCGAAAGGCAGAGACGCATGATCAATCTTTCCACTTTATCATTATCCGAAACTGCGCCCTAGAGCCGTCCTTTACTTTTAAATCAATGTTCCCATCATTCCAGCACAGTGACTTGTTGGGCGAGTTGGTTCATTCATAACGCAGCTTGACTGGTGACTTTGTTGACCTGTCTATATATGTGTGTGCTTTTTCGAATAACTTTAGTTGATAGTTTGCGCTTGCCCGTTTCTCGTGCGAAAAGGTACGTATGAGTGATCATGATGTTAATTAAGGTGCAACAAGGCTCCCCCCTCTTGGCGCCTTGCGCGATTTCAAAGGTATGTGCAAAATAAAAAAGTGACAGCACATCCACGGAGTGAATGGTAATGAGTGGGAAGAAGTGTCCTTTAGCCCATTCGTGCTTCTGTCCGTCCGTTTGTTCTTGCTTCCATCCATCCGTACGACCATCCGAGCGTCCATTCATGCGTCCGTCCGTCTGTGCGTGCATTCATCTGTCCATACGTCTGCGCGTTCGTCCATCTCTCGGTCGGCCTTCTAGTCTCTGTGTTCGTCCGTCCGTTCGTCTATTTAGTGAGCACTCCAACTACCGCTACCTCGCATCTCGCATACCCTATGGCACATACCCGCTCCGCGCGTCCGTTCATTGGTTCGTCCGTCTGTCCGTCTCCTAGTCTGCCTGTCTGTTCGTCCATGCACCCGTCCATGCGTCCATCTAATGAAAACTGCAAGTACCGCCATCTCCCATCTCGCATCCCGATGGCTACGTACGACAACGACGGAGCATGGACAGTCCCACACCTTAAGGAGCTTTGCCCCTAAAAGTAAGAGAGACAGACACTATGTACATGAGTGAAAGTTCATGGTTTGTCGGTGGGGAAGTCCTGGTGGTTTCCCTGCAAAATGTTGGGTATCTGAGAGTTCCGGTGGGTGACACTGGGAGCTTCGCCGTGGTCGGGGTGCGCGCCGAACAGTTGTTGTAGGCAGTGGTGATGCAACCCAGCGAGCCCATGTGGCAACTCGCATCAGCGACACCAGCGGTCGCCACGTAGAAAACTGCTCAGTGTGGATGGTGCGGCGTGCGGTGATGACTTGTGAGGACAGGTGTCTAAGTAGTTCGTGATCTGCGTAGGCGTAAGCTTTAGTGATAACTGGACGCTTCCTGCGCGTTGGGCGGGCGTGAGCACGCAGGCCGATGGTCACCGCAACGCCACGCTGTAAAATTACTTTGCAACGAACACTGCGATCTCAAATGGGCTGCAAAGGTGGGAGACAGGGTCGTGGAACAAAGATGTGCACAACCACAAGGTGTACATGAATGGCACTGACGCTGTCACATCTCTCTCGCGTGATGAAAGAAAAGGGCCCAGACACGAGCAGCACTGATCAGAACCGCTGCATGGTCTAATGTCACGTTGGAAGTGCTGATCGGGTTCAAGCTCTTAAGTGCCATCCCCAGATATGTTCGGCAGCAAGCTGGGATCCGCACGAGACTTGGGCTGTGCCAGACCGTGGGACGCCACGTATGTGCCTACATGACCACATACCGCAGTCGGAACAGGAGTTATTGAGAGTGGCACGACATGCTTGACATACGGTTGCATGGCTGGTGGGTCAGCAGGTAGCTCCACCATTGGCAAAACTGTAGCGTCGTTCACAGTCGTTGTTTTGTTGGCGGTAACTTCGCTGCTGGCGTAGAACACCACAGCTGACTCAGCTAGGTTGCCGTCGTTGGTGTCAACGAACAAGTGACAGGTGTCAACATTTTTGGCACGCACAGTCAGTAGGCGCTGAAGTTGACATGCTCACCTTTGAGTTCACACGCGTCGGCCGCTAAACCAAAGGCCGATCATCGTATGGCTTATGCTGCAACACCTCGGTGGAGTCGTTTGTCTTAGAAAGGTCACCTAACTCGTTGTTGTGGCATAGCGAGAGATCAGATGTGGTCAAGAGTAACCACGAGGAAGGCATGATCAGTTTAGATGATAGGCGCGTTCCGTGTGGTCGGTTCCTTGACGAAGGCGGTGTTCAGCGCTGCAAATATTTGGGACGGTGTCTTGTCTGCCATATGGGCGGTGGCTCTACAAAAACCAGGTGAGGTGTCGTTTTCTGTCATGTTGGAGGGCGTACTCTAGTATCTACAACGTAACTTCCTAGATACAGATGTTGTTTAGCGCCAGGGCAGCCGCGAACTCCACGAACCATGTGTCGACACAGGCAGTGTGGAACGGTGGCAGCGGGGGGTCAAATTGCAGTGGACAGGCTTGGTCAAGGGTGGTTTGCGGGCTAGGTGGTGCAGCTCGCTGTGGAGCAGAGGAAACTTGGATGTCACAGCCCCCGGAAGCAGGCGGTAGGTGAGGTCGGAGCAGGTGTGCAATGCAGCGCAGAGAGCACCGCGCGGTTGCGGACTGGACATCATTTCGGCAGTGAGGTGGCGCAGATCCACCGGTAGGGCGTCGAGTAAAATGGCGTGCATATTTGTCTTGTTCGTGACATATTTCGCTGCAAGAACGGTGTCGAACTGCATAAATCACACCTTATGGTAGGACGGCTGGAGCGGTGGAACTGGCGAACAGCCACACGGGAGCATGGCAGCCAGTGGTTCATCGAACGCTGCGTTTTTGGGTCACTACTTATAGCGAGAGGCAGAGAGACGTGATGAATCTCGCCAATTTATTCTTCTGAGCCAAATCAAAGTGGCGCCGGCTGCCTGCGTTCAACCGCCAGGCGCCAGGAGTCGTTTTCTTCTAGCACGCACCTCGAGCTCTGAGCGTGAGCAAAGAAAGAGTTGTAGTGCGGTGACTAATGAATGGTGATAATGATGATAAAAGCTCTACATATTCATCTGCAATATTTTTTGGAGTGAAATAATTTCTAAGAAAGGGCTGTGCACGCTTACTAGCCCGGAGAGTGGCAATTTTTATGCGAAAGGTCAATGAAAGAACCCGCTTCAAAGAGGACTAATGCTCATAAGCACGCCTGTTATAGGCGCGATGTTGAGTTGGGAGTAACATAGAATGGCAATCACGTGGACGTCACTGGACTGTTGACATGTTGACTGAGTTGCGGCGCTGGCGTGTTCTCACGCGGTGTATCTTGAATAACCACAGCAAATGTCCCACATGAGTTTCTGACGCCATGTGCGTTCTTGTACTCGTTTTATGGCGACGCTCCAAAAGCCGCGAGTTTGTTCTTCCTAGATCGTACGCGACCGCCTAGTTCGATGGCACATTTAGCATATACAGACGAACAGAAAGAGAGACGTATCGGCAGACAGGCAGTGCCAACGGGTGGACAGACTGATGTAAGGACGGACGAATAGACAGCCGGGTGGATGCATGGGTAGACGAACAGACGGATGGATGAACTGATAGACACACAGATGGTCGTACGGACAGACAGACAGCAGACAGAGAGAGACAGACAGACAGACAGACACACAGACAGACAGACAGACAGACAGACAGACAGACAGACAGACAGACAGATGATTCAGGGCTCACCAATACAACCCTCCGAAGCTTCCCCTATTTTCATATTGCACACGGTGGGTATGCTGTGATTTTTTTATCAAAGCTGCCATCACGCACTCCGCACTATCTTCGTGCCATGACTGCTGTGGAGTGAGCTCAGATTAAACTTATGTGCCCGAGAAGCTCGGGCTGTGGTGCATGGCACCCAAGTTGGAGGCCTCAGCAGGAAGTGTTTTTTTTTTTACTTGCTAATGACTTTCTTGCATGCCCAAATAAAGAACCTGTGGAATCGTCTTAACTAAATCTTTCCATTCGCATGGAACACCATCTATGCTATTTTCTTCGAAATGTCAAGTGACTGTCACAATATTGCCCTGCATTCAATTTTTCTTACATTGACACGTACACCATTTTGGCCATCATGTGTTACACCTACATACACCACCACACCCATCTCAATACATATAATTCTAAGCTTCACGTCAATTTACGGTGACACTAACTCATTCAGCCAATTGGCGCGCTAGTGTGACGCACGTCATTGGCACAGCTTACCTGATAATATGGTTCTGGAAACTGACTCATTGAAGTTTCAGCGGCCGCTTAACGCTCATATCACCAGTAGACAATGTTCTGCCTAAGATGTAATATAAGTGTTTGCAGAGATCATTCAATTGCTTGCGCAGTAACATGTTACGTTCTGTGTGTAGTTTATCTATTGGTAACCCTTTAGATCAGTTTTATTGTACTATTTAACTGTTTACATGCTGTGTTCTTTACATATCTGTTCTGCTTACTTCATGTACGTTTATTTACACCTTTCGTTTGAACAACTTCATTTGAGCCCCCTTTAATGAATGGCCATACGTACTTTCAAGGTACTTTTAAATCAATAAACATATATGTCCAAAAAGAATCTCAGAAGGCCAACACTATGTTTGAGTGGCACAGCTTTTATTTTCAATGCAGTGAATGCGTAGGAGTGCTTGTGATATTTTTAGAATTCTTTCCTTAATTTGTTGCATAACAATGAACTATTATTCTAAGTTTTTATCTGCTCAGTGCTACGCTATATTTGACCACTCAACCGAATTAAGGGGGCTTCATTTAAGATTACTTAAAGTGCACTCATGGTCATTGCTCACCTCCGTTTCGGCAAGCTGGGGTAAAAGAACCCCAAGAACAAGCAAGCGTTCACAATGTTTTTATTATATGACTATATTAGGCTCAAGGTATAGTAAAATTGTGATTCACCACTTGCATTTCTAGCACGACCAGTGTCCATCAGTATGAAACTGCTGTCAGCCATCTTGCTATTATCTGCAGCTACTCTTATTAGTTTAGCATCCGAAGAGAAACGCATTTGGCCGCTGACCATTACTAACAACAGTAAGTATGCTACTAAGTTATTTTTATCATCCCCTGTGAAAATATATGGTACCGTTGTTGTAAAAATGTTACTGGTACTTTTGTAGCACAAAGGGTCTTTTTTTAAATATATCCAGATATTTTTATTAAACGAAATGCAATGGTAGTCAGAATGAAACTTTACGCACGAAGTTTACGTTATGTCTACGCGGGAAGACATTACCATATACGTCTCATTCATTAACGATAAATAACTCAATAATTAGATTTTAAATAATAACTTGCGAGCAGTTGCTAAAACTTGCCTTTACACGGTCGAAATTCTGAATTTGATATGACCTGTTTGACCAATTGCATTACTGTATGAAATATCAGTGCAACAACTAACAAGACATAGGTATTGGTTTGAGCCAGAATATTCCTGTCGCCCGTTTGCCTAATTCACAGACAACACTATGTTGTCAGTTATAGTTTTGCAATCTGGAGCACAAGCCATGGCTTGCGCAGAGAATAGTGGATATGTATCGCAACACTTAGGCTACTTAAAAAATGGCAGCTTCTCACTAGATAAGATTATCTTGAAGAAAGAGTGCAGTTAATTGGCCTCAATTGTTTCTCTCTACTCTCTCTTTCATTACTGGTGCCTTCCTTTCTTTCATTGTTTTCTTTATTATTTTTGTTTATCTCTGTTGCATTATTTTTTTTATACCTGCACGATTTTTTCTTGATGTATTCGGTTTTTATTATTTATTTCGATCTATTTCTTTGTGTTTCCCGATGATTCTGTTCCTATTAGTCTTTCTTTTTGTTTTAGGTCTTTCTCACTCTGCTTGTTTTTTTGTCTTTTTCTGTTGCTCTCTATAGGTACCCTTCTTTGTATTTTGTCTTGCTCTCTGTTTATCTATTTTTTATATCTTTTTAGCTGCCTACTTTTATTTTCGCGATGGTCTAGTAGCCAAGGCACTCTGCTGCGAATCCGCAGGTCGCGAAATTGAATTACGGCTACGGCGGCTGCATTTTCAATTGAGGTGAAAATGCTGTAGGCCCGTGTGCTCGAATTTGTGCGCAGGTTAAGGAACCCCAGGTGGTTGAAACTTCTGGAGCCCTCCACTGCGGCATCTCTAGTAATAATGGGTCAATTTGGGATGTTAAAGTTCACATATCAATCAGGTTTATCTTCCTTTTTCCTTCTGTTTCTTTCTTTCTCTTTTCGTGTTTTTATTTGTTTAAATCTTTTTATGCCTCTAGTCTCTTTATTCATCTTTATATTTCTATTCATCTTTCTTGCCATCAATTTTGTTATTGCTCTCTTTCTTTCTGTCTTGCGTACGTGTTCGCTTTTGTTTGACACTCATACTTATTGTGCAGGGTAGTGGCATTTGCTAATTCCTGTGACACGCACACAGCTCTGCAGTTTCGCATGATAGACCACATGTTACTTATTTGAACAAGTTTGCTTTAAACATAAGAAAGAAAATACGTGCCGGCTCATGCTGAAAACATTATTTACGGCGGAGCAAAAGTTACCACCTTTTTAAGCCACTCCGCGCTTAATAATATTGATAACACAGGTGTAAAAGCCTAATAAATTCGCTCAAGCTCCTCCTTATCAAATATGCTCATATAATGTAGGTTCTACAGTAGCATTACTAAATCCAAAAAGTGAAACACTGACACTTTGAAGATTTGGATATGTGCATACATCAATCTATCAGTCTATCCATTTAGCCACCTACGTGAGGCTTCTCTCAAGACCACCTCTTTGATTTGGCTTAGACGAAAAAAGGGCAGTATACTCGGACTTCGCTTTCAAACGCAGGTCAGGATAGCGTAATCTTGTCGCATGAGCATTGGTGGTTATTTGCTAATCTTCTTCGGGTCTCGACGCAGGCCTTAACGTGTCGTAAGGAAACGAACTACTGTGATCGTAACATAGGCTATTTTAAAGTAATACTGAATGCTTCCTGCAAGAAGACTCATTAAGTACCCACTACGGCTTAATTATTCTTTTCGCGAATCAAAAGAGCCCCTACGCATGCGTAGGACGACACAAACTGACGTAGCTCTTGCATTTTGCTGCTGCTACTTATAATTAAGAATGTCTAAGTGTTTTTTTATGGCTTGGCGTCTAAAACGCCTACTTTTCGCTCAATCCATATCTTTCAATGTCTGGCATGAATCTAGGCTTTTCCCATGCAATATATTGTGCGCTGTCGAGTGAGGTAGCCTTTTGATTTTGTTAATTGGTACGTCATACTGTTGTTTGTCTAGCGCACTAAAACACACGGACAGATAAAGATAGGACAGGCGCTAGACTCCTTAGCGAGACTCTTTCACCTACATGAAAAACTTATAGTGTTTTTCTTCGCAAAGCAGTCTCAACGAATACCACGACTCTGTTGTACAAGACCAGCTTGACACGCACAAGGCCTGAGCTTGAAGCTCAAGGGTACCTGTAGGTTTGGTTATTTATTTCATCTACGTCTACCTCATTTTATCGGCCACAGGCAAGATGATAATCTTTAGACCAAAACTATGAACGCCTATAAAGAGGCCGAGGCCAAAATTTCTGCAAAACGTCTTCTTTACCATTCTCACGTTAAAAGTGGTATGGGAAGATATAACAGTTTTAGGAATTTGATTGTCTGGTCATGACCTGAGTAACCATAAAATCTAGTGACGTTGTCGTGAAATTGTTTCCTGGAGGAAAATGTGATACATGTCAGTATACCAAGGGCTGCGGTTCGCGAGCATGTGCCACAGGTGAGTGAACTATGTATATTTATGTATTGCCACAAGTTGCTCATCAGCCTCCGGCGACGCACCCTGCTTCCTATATTTGTAAATGCCGCCAAACAAATAGCGATCAAAGCGCGCAATGCACCGGTGGTCTGCGCATGCCCCCACACCACGCGCTAAAAATAACAAGAATAATGGCTCGTGGAGTAAACGGGGCATGGCTTCGTGAAAGAAGAGGTCGAATACGGTCGGGTGGCTAGCAAGAAACAATTTTTGTGCAAGGTTGTCATTTTAGGTTCTCAGGCACAAGTTCCCTGAATAAATAGTCTTTGCCAATAGGCGTTACATTTGTTGGTAACATCTGGCGGAGGTGCTGGGTATGTTTCTAAGCCCACCAGAGGCAAGGGAGGTAAGGCCGGACACCCTAAGATTGGAGCCAGTATAATTGACGCCTCTCCACTAACGCACGAGTTGCTGTCTACGAGGTGAGGAGCCTGAGTTTGGCCCCCTCTTCAGTTCGTCAAGTTCGGCAAGGACCACCATGATAGCCGCTCAAGCGACACCGTTTGCGTCTAATACTGTCGTGGATTCACCACGGGTACCAGAGGTCTTTCACAATGACACTTATGAAGATGCCGAGGACTAGATTGCCAACTTCGCACGTGTCGAGAATTTGAACGGTTGGGACAAAGCCAAGAAGCTTCGTTACGTCTCCGTGGCGCTCCAAGATTTTGCGCGTACGTGGTTTGAAAATCACGAAGCGTCATTGTCGACATTAGATGACTTCGGAAGGAAGCTGCTCATAAATTACCCAAACGTAGACCGCGGGGAGAAGGCAGAGGCCACTCTTCAGGGAAGAAATCCCAGGAAGAATGAGAGCGTGGCTATGTATATAGAAGACATGTCGCGGCTCTTCCGCCGAGTTGACCCAAACATGGCCGAGAAGAAGAAGCTGCGGCACCTGATCCGCGGAGTGAATGAGGAAAGTTTTGCAGGCCTTGTGCAAAATCCTCCGCGGACCCGGCAAAGTTTAGATCAGAGGCGACGGGGACGTAAACGTACAACATCAGAGGCAAGAGGGACGTTTAGAACACTACAACAGGGACGTAAACGTCTGTTCAGCTAGCGCGGTGTCGGGAACCCTCACCAACAACATTGACGTTCTGCGCGAAGTGGTGAGGGCTGTCGTGAAGGAGTAGCTACAGAAAATACAACTCACTTAAAGCCCTCAAGCGATGCCTTCTGTCGTGAATGCTGTGTAGGAAGAAGTTCGACAAGCTGTTCTTCGACCACAGCCCCAAGTGCTACCCCGAGCACAGCCACAACCTCAACCTCCGTTGACAAAAGCGCAAGTAGTGCGACAGGACCTTGAACGCACAAGCTTTGCTCAAGCTGACGTTATGCCCTTGACATTTCCACGCAGCACGCCACCGCCTATACCGGAAGCCACGCCACGTAAAAGCGCTGTGTGGCGCACTGCAGACCGCCGGCCCCTTTGCTACCATTGCTGATAGGCAGGTCACACTTATCGAGCGTGTCAATATCGTCGAGTAGAACTGCACGGCTTCCCACCCAACGCACACTGCCCGCGGAACGGTGAGTGTCCATACAAGATCCAAGAGTTTTTGTCATCGCGTCATACGCTTCAGAACACTCAGCAACGGGAATCGCGTTCAACAGTTACGATGCGCTAACGATCCCCGAGCCTTAGACCATAATCCGATTTCCAAAGACCTCGATCACCTTGCCCGTGATGGGAAACTAGAGCCAGTGACCTTTGGAGGCGAGGCCACTGATACTCAGAAAACAGAAGAGCCTAACTCGCTGGCCCGACCGGACGACTGCAGTACTCAGCGACATATAAGTGCAGTAATGGTTACGTTACCTCCGAACTGTTAGTCACCATCGACGACCTGAAAGCCATTGCACTAATAGACACTGGGGCGGACTACTCCGTGGTCAGTAGCCTTCTCGCAAAGAAGTTGAAAAACGTACTGACTCGGTCGACGGGACCGCAAATACGTATTGCCGGAGGGCACTTAGCCCCGTGGGGCTGTGCACAGCAAGAATAGGGATTAGGGAATTTGTCTATGTCGGCCGCTTCATTTTTCTTCCCGCGAGTGTTCCCGTGAGCTGATTATAGACATGGACTTTCCTGACGCAATTAGCATAGTTATTGACTAGCAAAATCTAATGTCTCCTTTTCTACAGCAAACGCTGTGCAATGTGTCGAAAAAATCAACCAGCCGTTTCATCTCCCCAGGCTGTGGATGAAGACGTAA